TTTATTTTAATTTTTTAAGCATAAATGCCAAACATTAGCTGTTTCTAGCCTCTCTCATTTCAGAATATAGTAGGGTTATTTGTTATACATGACAACAACATAAACATTTTTGAATTTCAACTATTGGTCGGTTAAAGGTGGGGTAGGTAAGAACGGAGAAACCAGCTCGAGATCGCTAGAATTTGAAAATACACAACCGGAAAAAATCTGCCCCTTCCTTCAGACCTCCTTACAGAGCCCCTCCTCCAACACACACGAACGCGCACATGACCAATGAGGGCACGAGATAAGCTTGTGCACAGAGGAAGGCTGACAGGCAGGTAGGCCATCCAGTTACTTTAGCCGGCTCAGATGATTGGTCGTGCTTTTTACAGCGCCACGGCTTCCACAGATGAAATGTTTTTATGTATTTATTGTCAAAGCATTTAATGTATTCATTGCTATCGGGATGTTAAGAGCATTCCATGGAATATAACAAGTGTTTCTGAAGTGAATTACCTCCCCCACCTTTAAAGCAAGATGGAAACAAATGGAGAAATGATTGCATGCGCTTTTCACTACCTATGATATTTTATACCAAACATTCAATCTGTTAATAAGAAAATAATCTGTACAGACACTCCAACCAACAAACAAACAGTAGTCCAACACGTATCACAGTATACTTGTTTGATATAACAAATGATCACAATGCAGCTTTCTAATTAGACGACATATCCTAGTCTGAACATAGTTTGTCTAATCTATTTTTAAAATGTATAACTCAAGAACCCTGCACTACACCCTCTGGAAGCTCTTGTTGTTTCTTTACAACACGAACATCAAGAAGTTTCTATCTTTTCAAACTCTGTAGTTTTTCAGTGTCGTGTTAATATCAAGAAAACATTAAAACATGCCCTAGAATCCATATAAAGTGGTCAACATGCCCGAACACATGCCCAAGCTGTTGTTCACTAATTTCAGGCCCGGCTGTCATCGTGTGAGGAGCTGGAGGTTTCAGCCTGATGACACAAGGTTATACAAACAGACCTGCATTAGCTCCTTACACACTCTCTACCCAACCCCTATAGGTGAGGGTGTGTGGGCACGTATAAACACACTACTTTCCATGCCTCTCAAACTGTACCTGCAACACACACACGCACACATACACTCATTCTGCGAAAACTCATATTTTTAGACAGCTCTGTGATATGCCAGAGTGATAGCTGCTGAGGATGATGGGTATCTGCTTCCACTCGGTTACCCGCTCAACCCGCACCTTCCCGCTCATTCAGACTTGTTTACTCTGCCACCGTGTGGAAATGCAGGCTGCTCTGAAGACACCGGTGTAGCAGCTGTGGATCTGATACTGCAGGGCTTTTCTCCCACAAGCTGTGGACACAACGCTGGTGTTTGTTGTTCTTAGAAGCAGCTTGCATTTCAATGTTGGCTTCTGCAGGCCAACGGGGGGTAGTGAACATGTTTCGAAAGTTTATAGCAGCAGATGGTTAACATGGCGTCTCTAGAAGGCATTCCATCAGATGTTGATAGAGGAGGAGTATAGGTGTAATTTAGTGGCGCCACCACTGATTGAAAAACAAAAATCACAGTATTAACTGTCGTAGTTTCCAAACCACAAAAAGTTGGAATGTTTCTTTTATCACAGACAGATCCAACTCCAACAAAACAATATGATCTGTGCTTCACAGAGTTTACGGCTGAAAAAAGATATATTGACTTTGAGAATAGTCTTAGATAAGAGTACAAGTCATATTTTTTACACCGTCATATTGTTTTTCGGGTATTAAGACATCGTCTATGAGCATATTCATTTTGACCCGATGTACCACAACGAATGCTTACTTCTTTGTTAAAAGAAAGGAGAAAGAATGCACACTATTTGCTTTAAGAAAAGAAAAGATATCATGGCGATATTTTTGATGGTGTTTCTGTTCAAAATTGTGTGAATGTTCAGAAAGCCCTGTAGTTACTGTAGTTGTATCTGTTGCCATTGATTGCATATATGCAGGTGACAATATTGATGTTGAAATATTTCTGACTCAAAACATTTACTGATATTTTTAAAGCAGTGGATTTCAAAGATAGAATAAAATGTATTTCGATTTTTTTCCCCAATTGTACTTTTTCGCTGCATAGCCTCGGAAAATATTTGTATTTTCAAACTGTATGTTTTCACATTTAATATTATGAGTGAAAAAGGCTGTGAGGAGGGAGATATTATTGATGTGAAACCTAAAGCTCTCTGGTAACATTGGGTGTAGCTTATGTATGAATTTCCCCCACAAGCTTTTGCTCATAAACCAAAAGTAGTGGACTATATTGACGTGTTAAAGAATCTTTCCAACAGTTGTCTAGACATTTGACTCTGAATCACAAATGCGGCCGACTTAAAGTTGTGGGATCAACAAAAGTCAGTCGGCTTCATCTCCTGGGGACCATGAATGTCAGTAAGAAGTATTATTTGAACACATCATATAGTTGTCAAGGTATTTCAGGACCAAAGTCGCTGACAGAGCGACATAACTAAGTAAAACTATTATGCTGTAAAATGATAAAGCTTCTTTTAAAGTGTATTGACAAGGGAGTTCTTCTTGAGGTTTCCCCCCAATCCGCTGTATTTATTTGATGTATAGAGCACACCGAGTGTACGTTTTAAATTTAAAGATGAGGAACAATTACCCGTGAAATCTGCTATGAAAACACGCATTTAACAGTTGATCCATTCATCAGACACAAGTCTGCGGTTTACATTAAAGCATTATAAATCCACCCCTTATTTGTCTAGCCGTTCCTAATGTTGCCGTATTTCAGAGAGTTACTGCAAGTCGCTGATCAGATCCGAGTCTGTGGATCATCAATCAGGGAGCAAAAACAGCCAGACGTTCCTGCGCTGCTCGTGGAGATTCAGCCCACATGCCAGTCAGCCGGAGGAATCCTCGGGCTTGTGGTTTAGACGAGGGGGAAGAGGAGCAGACTTGGCGGATCAAGAGGGTTTCAGGCTTGGAGGAGTCGCTGCATTCCTCCATGTCTCTCTGTCTTCCTCTGCTGATGTCTCACTCTGTCCCTCTCTCTTTCTTTTCCCTCCATCCTTCTCCATTTCCTGTTCCTCCAGCCCCAATGGGTCGCTGATGTTTCCCTGATGTCCTGTCCTCAAATGCTGCACTCGTGTCTATCTGGCCCGACCACGCTGTCTGTCTGCTCAGACCCTATTACTCATTTCTGCACACGGGTGCAAAGGCCTTTTCATTTGATGAGAAATGTAGACTTTGATCAGTCATCAGGGGATGCTCTTTTATTTGGATAAAAGCTCAATTCCCAGGCTGACCTATGATTTTTTTTTTGGACGTCATCCTGGTCATACTTTGGATTCTTCAGACGTATACAAATGAATAGTGGCCTTTTGTGTCTGTTAAAAGAAACGCAGCCTAGAGAACTCGTGGAAAAATAGCAAACAAGAAAGGATTTATAAGATGGAGCCCACTTAGAGATGAAAGTGTAATGTCATTGCCCTCCTCCTCCTCCTCCTCGTCCTCCTCCTTCCTCTCTTGTTCAGTAATGTGTTTCTAAAGTAATGTAGGTGCAGCCAAGAAGACAGATAAAAATCTCTGGTAATTACCCCTTGAGTCATGCTCTGATGTTATCCGAAAGTTTGCCCAGTAGTTATTTCTGTTGGCATGGTGAAACCTGGAGGAAGGCATACGTACTGTACATGCAGACAGACGGAGAGAGACAAACACATCCTAAGACACTGACCGGTATCCAAAACAGAGTGGCAGAGGAATCCTCACACCTGTTAGCATGTGAACGCTAGTTACATGATTTAAAACAGCACTGGTATTAACACATTCAAGAGGATATATGCTCATTTTCATAAGTATATCTTGTGCCTCTACATGTCTCCTTGCTCTAATGTTCAAAAAGCTCTTTATTGTCTCATCCTGCCTGTGCTGCTGCACCTCTTTTCACCCTCTGTCTGAAACCAGAGCCCAGTCTGCTCTGATTGGTTAGCTGGCCGGCTCTGTTTGTGATTGGTCAACCGCTTAGGGATGTCCCGACCCTTAGCCAATAGAAGCGCCGGTACACATAGTGATGTCACTATGTTAAGGAAGTATGACATTTTTGCCTTTGCAGCCCATTTACATGCACACAAACCTATATAACACACTACAGGAAAGTACTGTATGGGTTAGGGTTTCTTTAAAAACAGCGGCTAGCTACTCTGTAATTAAGAGTTGATTGACAGTGTCCTGACATCACCAGAACGGAAAGTAACGTTTATGTTAGGATGTTATCAACAGGTTATCAAACAAAAAAACATGATCTCATAGGAAACAAAGAAATCATTTAGAAAAACGATCGGCATCAATCACTGAATGGATGTGTGTTTACAAAGGGTGTAAGTGTAAGGCTTTTGTTTTGTGCCAATTAGATCACAAACTCTGAATATAAACGGGTCTGCATCAAAGTTAAATTGTTAATCTAACAGCTTTGAAAACAGCCAGCCATCGTAACATACTGTAATAAACTTCAGATACTAACCAACTAATCTTCCATCGTAGTGCAGCCCTGACGTTGACTCTTTGTTAATGCAGTGGATTTAATGTTTTTTCCATGCCCTCACCAATACAACCAATGTTTTTATGATTACATTTTATACGAGATGTTCTTTATAGATCAAGCCTCTTAATGTTGCCTTCGAAGTGCACCATATTGATGTGTTTAACTTGTACAAAATGTTCTTTCAAAATTCACGATGTTTCCAAAGTGAACGAGTAATTACGTAAAATAATCGTGTTCTCAATTCTTACCAAAAATAATAGTGATTATGATTTTTGCCATAATCCAGCAGCCCTATTATGTGGTTGGGTTTGGTTAGTTTTTCGTCTCTGGTTGTCATTTCAATTTGAATGAATCCTGCTCATTCTCATGGCACATTAGTAGAAACATGTGAAACTGTGTGAAGTGTGTATTTGTGACCCGTGGATCTGTTTCTGCAGGACTATCCCAGGAACAGACACCCGGGATGGAGCCGAGGGTCGGTGGCGTACCATGCCGGTGAGATATCAAACCCTTTTTTTACTAAGAAAGAAAGTGTGGAATTCTCCCTGTAGTGTTGTTTAGCAGAAATACATACATCTGATCTACTTCCTCTAAAAAGCATCCATCTGCTGCTTTTTAGATGCAAACATCACAGGGCTCCGTCTCCGCTGGATGTTAGAGGTGCCGAGCAAAAACAGAGATCAAGGCAGGCAGATTAAAAGCACAGCAAGCTGATAAAACACACGGTGACAGCATCAGAAAGACGAGAAGGATCTTATCTCCATCTCTCTGTGGAAGTTTAGTCATGTAAATATCAGTAGCAATGAACCAGAAAAAACAAGACACAAAAACGTATCTTCCCGTGCTTCCATGTTAAGTCCTGGTTGTTTTTGATGAGCTGTGGACGTTATCTGCACAGGCATCTGCATAAAACCCCCACAGATCCCATTTCTGTCCTCAGCACCCCCCACTATCACCGCTGAGAGATTAGCTGCTGCTGTGATGTGAGATTAGCAGCAACCAGGTAGGTGTTTGTTATTACATCATACGAGCTACAGTAGGTAACCGGCGTCTTATCTCTCTACCCACTGACAGTCACAATCTTGTTATTCCTTATCAGACCAGAGCTGGTTTTATCAGCATTGTTTTGGTCTGAAGCATCCCATTGTTGTTCTCTCTCACAGGGGACTCCAGGTGATTCACACGCCAATTATATCACTTTCTGTCGTACGATTTTCTAGCAGGAAATGTGTACGATTTCCTATCGTTAGAGAAAGGTTTGAATACGTTTCTAAAACACATTTTCTTATTCACTTTGCACATTGTATTCATGTTCCTAGTTCATTGTTAAAGTCCTAAATCACAATTAAAATCAGGTGGCAAGTAGGTGCACACATACAAGGAATGTTCTGTAGTTTGTGATTGTGCATACATAAACTCAGGGCCAGAATCTAACCTTTTCCCAAAACGATAAAAAAAAAGAAACGTTTACAAGAAATATAAATATACACAAAAACATGTGCAATAAGAATATGAGAAAGTAGTAGAATAAAGCTTAATATGTACTGTATATCAGAATTTAAAAGTGGAAAACCTATGCCGTTTTAAATGCATTATAAAATACAAAAAATTAAAGTTTAGAAGAAATATTAATATATGAAAAAAGTACAATGAGAACACGACAACTAACTCAGTAGTTTATCAGAAATGTACCAAAAAAGACTGCAAGACTAATTAGATGAAGAATATGACACACATCTAAATATGTGCAGTATATCAACATGAAATAGTGGTTGAGCTACGCAGCTTTAAAGAGCATTATACAGTCATGTGTAAACTATACACAGGAATGCTGGAGGTTTACAGTATGAGGATATGTCACAAGATGAAATCCCGTATCCCTTTGCAGATTCCATTTATACTTAGAGTGTATTAATAATAACAGTTGATGCTGCGCGTGGTGCCGGGGTCTGCGGACGATATCTCATCGCTGAGTGACAGCCGGGCGCTCGGTCCCACAGGTCCAGCTGCGGTCCGCCTGGTTTGGCTGCTGCGTGTCGGACGCCGCAGTAATGTGCACGCCCCAGCACAGCTCCCATTAATCTTATTTGTTAGAGACTAAAATGATGTATGTGGCTTTCCGCGCAGTGCGTCTGAGGTTTGCCTTCCCATGCTTGGGTTAAGGTGCAGGCCGTGATCCAGCAACTTAAAGTCAACAGCCAGGGCCTCTTCTTCACGTCTCCCCTCGCTCCTCCATGCTGATTTTCAGCTCAGGGACCTCAAGAATTGCACGCAGACGCTCTTTGGCAAATTGACAAAAACTTAATGTATACACAGTATTGTATGCACTGGGTCATATAACCGCAGGAGAAATTGCTTAAAGAGGGAATGACTTTCTTACCCTGGTTTTCATGCACTTTGCGAGCCAAGAATACAGTGAAGAGGTGTTTCTGTGACACTGTAACCTGTGTTTATTAACCATTATGAGGGGTTTTTGCGTTTCACCTCGGTACCTAGTGGGGAAAAGGCCAGGATATTCTGTGCTGGACTTAGTTTGGACTCATTGTTTTATTTTGTATCAAACCTCACGCTGTTCCTTAGGGCACCGTGTGTGTTTGTAATGTTTTTACCGCCTGCTTTAAAGAAAAACAGTGGCTGTAGAAAGATGTATGTAAGTTATATCATGCAGCCTGGAGGAGAATACACACATTTTGTAATGATTCAATGTAACATTCCTTCTTTTCTTATTATACTCTGCATGTACAGTATGGCTACTTAGCTCTATTTCTGTCGTCCTGATTTATGGTGCGTTGTAATGGGCACGCGACCAGTGTTGACCTGGATCACATGTGATGTGTGTTATTGACTTTAAAGGTTGTGATTTTACTCCAGATATATTCCAGTTATATCCACAAATGGCTGCCAACCATAGCGCTGCTCCTTTGTATAGTTTGAGAGTTCTTTGGCCTGCGCTGGTGTTACCGCGTGTGTTTTTGTTGGGCTCTGGCCCAGCGTGGACCTCCATCCTGTGCGTTGGCTCCGCTTGTCTCCGCAAGTTAATGGGCCGTGGGGCTCTGCGGGCCCCTGTGGACCCTATCAGGAGCAACCAGCCATCCAACCAGTGAGTGCTCCTCAGCAAGCCTCATTAACCCTGTCACCCCCTCCAAACCCTGCCTCAGTGAGTCACACGTGCTGGGACTCAACACCCGCAAAGGAAGGCTGTGCTCCACCACCACCACCACAACAACCCTCCATCACTCAAGAGCAGGCTAACCTCACATAATGGGGCTCAGTCTAACTTCTGTGACGGGTCTAATCTGATTCCAGCTCAGGTTCTGCAAAAACAATTATTCCACCCCAACATGTTGTGTTGGGTGGGTTATATGACCTTCTTAACCAATGGGATGGAAATGGATTTGGATGATAAAGTCTCTTTCAACATTGAGGTACAAAAAGACAAGGTACATTAGGGATGAATATTAAAATCTAAAATGCACCCAGATCATGTGTCCATACTGTGGAGGTCACCGCACATCTAAGTAACGATATCAAGTCCCATTCTCTTGCACGGTTAACAAAAGTGGAAAAAAATATGTTGGCGCCCGTCAGCTATCGTCAAACCACCTGGATCTAAAACAAAAGACTGAAACCATACCATAGTTTTACTGCCTCCTTACACTGCACTCTTTTCCCTGCGATGAAGATCCAACCAGAGTTTTTTCGCCCTTTAATAATGTATATACACGCTTGGGCCACTCTGGAAAATGGTCCAATAACAGGACGTATATTGTACAAAATCTATCAACAGCTCAACGCTTTTTGATCAACTCCAATGGCAGCTGCAAAGGGAATTTATATTACATTTTTAGGAACATGTGTGTGAAATCATGAAAGAATTTGAATATTTTATTTTTAATTTGTCATTGTTCCCTTGGCAAGGAAGCCCGGTCTTTTCCAGACTCACAATAAATAGTCTGGTTTTACTTTTCTCAGCCGGTCTCAGGCTTGACTCCAGTCCCTGAACTCAGCTCCAGTCTTCACCTCCTGGTTGCTGCTGGGATCCGTCTCACATCCAGCACCTGTTGGCGGCCAGAGAGTAGCTCACAGTGTTAGCTTTACCAACAACTTCCTCAGCTTATGGTCCTGCCTTTAGCATTAACGCCATCACAGGTGTTCTGCTCCATCAACAGCCTCAGAGCCAAACCTTGGTCAACACCTCTGTGCTAATTTTAAACTCTCCGGTCTCCAACACAAATTTTGAACACAGCCAAGCGCTTATTTGAGCTGGCTTCCTGTGATTCAATTTCCGACCTCCTTTAGAACCAGAGCACACTTGAGAAAAGCAACAGAACATGTTATTGTCTGAAGACGGAGGCAGTAGCCAAGTTCTCAAGACTTATTTTGGGAAACATAGGATCGCTGTTTCAATAATGGACCATGTAAGTGTGTTGTCTGGTACTACGAGTTGCAGGTTCAGTTCCCGGGCACTGATAAGGTGCCCTTTGAGCGAGGCATCGGACCCCCGCATTGCTGTTTAATATCTGACAACAGCTCCTAATAGTACGATGGGTCATAGGGGAGAAAAACTCACCCTGTTAGTGGGTTAGCACGGTATGTAACTTACTCTAGAGAGAACTTTGGGATTTTAGCCTTTGCAGACCATTTACATGCACATAAACCTTTATAACACACTACAGGAAAGGGAAGACCCCAAAAAGCATAATAGGGCCTCCTTTTAAATGCAGAAACTAAACTACATTTCTATTTTATATTGTTTGTCAAATGTTGGTTATTTGTATTCTTTTTTCCGACCAACTAATCGTTCCATCCCCTTGTCGTATCAGCCCTAATGATTTAGAAGTAATGAAACACACACACACACACACACACACACACACACACACACACACACACACACACACACACACACACACATTTTCCAGGTAGTCAGAAATGTTGACCTCCAGCGAACATCCCTTTGAACCACATAAAGCTCCGCCAGGCTTCTCCTGCCTTTCCTGTCCCAGTGAACTGAGTCCACCCTCAAACCCAAACCTGGACGTCTACCCCCCCCCCCCCCCCCCCCCCAGAGCTCAGGTCCAGCTCCGGCCCCTCGTCACTCTCCAAAGACGCCCTGCTCGGCTATTTTTAGCGGAGCCTCGCTGTGCCGGCGTGGCTCCACGGTTAGCCTGGAGCGTGGTGTTGTGACAAGGGCCCGCATGGGAGCCGTAATGATAGTGTCTCCGCCTCCCTGCCGGGGCTCAGATAGAGATTGTTTAAACAGTATCCTGAGCCGGGGATGGGTCCCATGACAACTCCATAAATATTTACCAGCAGCAGCCGCGGCGCTTCGCTTGGGCAGAGCTCGTCTGCAGGCTACCTCCACAATGTTTTTCTTTTGCCCGTTTTCTTCCATTGTTGTCTCTCGCGAATGTAATATGTGTTGATTTGGTGATTTCCTTTAGTTGTTTTTAAGTGTTTTTTTGTTTTTACGAGCGCTGCTTTCACCTTCTTTGCACATCATCATCTGTCAGAAATGTCAGGATGTCCTGTATGTTAGCACTGCATTGTATGTGACCATCTCGCACGCTGCGGTAAACGCATTACAAGACGCAGCAAAGCCCACGTAACGTTAGGTTCAGCATCGGGACACATGGACAGAGATGACCTTACACAGGGCGTCTGATTTCAAGGCTTTTTAAGAGTTTTCAAGACTTCTGCCGTTTCCTAATAAGAAGGCCTTTAAAGATAAGTCTTACATTTTATTTCAAATAGTCTTAAATACATTTAGCGTGCCAGCTGTAGGCAGTAATGTTTGTTTTAAAGTGTGAAGGATCTAATTACAGTTTGTCAGGAGACATTAGTTATTTCACACGCCTACAAACTAAAGTTCAATCAGCACCATCAGACCTGTAGCATCAATACTTCTAGCGACAGCAGCTAGGCAGGTGTCCAGGTCAGCAAAAACGTAAATGTTATAATAATACAATATGGTAAAACTGTCAGATGGAGTCTGACATTTTTCTTGCATCAGAGCAGCTTCATTTGCAACATCAACAAGAACAACAATATTTAAGATAAGATAGAAATACATCATTGCCTAATCCATTAATACATTTGCTATAGGTTAGCCGGTTCAGGTTGCATTGATTTGATTCAATAAATCATCATAAACAGCAATATAAATGATACTTGGCCTTTTAGTTTGAACTGTTTTTTTCCATTTGACTTCACAATAGTAGTCTTAACATTATTGGGTTACTCTACCAGTGACTGTTGTATTTTCTCCATTAATGTATTCATTGTTTGGTTTGTAAGAACTCAAATGTTAGTTTTATCCGAAAAACAGTTCAACTTTATAACATATAAACTAATTTATCAAACAATTTAAAGAAATGCAGCACATTCTCACATGTGTGTGGCTGGAACCAGGAAATGTTGTAACTTGAAACCTTTCGAACAAATATCAAAAAAGTATTTTCTTGAAACTTACAAAAAAAATGCTGCTGTTCTCATAAATTCTTAGATATCTTGATTTAATGAAACTAAAGCTGTCAGATAAAAGTAGTGTAGTATATATGTTACTTATTACTGCTTTTAACCTGCACCTTGCCCTTATTATTTCACGTCTACTCTGTATGTCTTAAATATATTTACTGTTGTATTTATCGAAGAGCCTGGAACTTAGACTTAGTTTTTCATTGCCAACATCTACACTGTAATGCATGACAATTAAGCCTTTGAATCATTCTTTCTCCTCTGATAGACGACGGCAAGGTCTTCCACGGCAGCGGGGTCGGAGACGCTTTCGGTCCTCGCTGCTTGAAAGGCGACATTATGGGCTGCGGCATCATGTTCCCACGAGACTACATCCTGGACGAAGAAGGTGAGGGCAGAGGGTTCAGGCGCTGCGATTAAACCGTCACTCATTACAATCGGGCGTGGGAGGTTTCGCTCTTAAACGTACTTATTGTGGTTTAGAGTAATGCAACATTCGGTCTTAAAGGAGTCTTAATGGTGTTGCGCTTGGGAAAGAAACTGGATGCAAACCAAGATCCCCCGCACAGAAAACAGAACAAGCACTCAAAGGGGATCTTCTCATACATCACCAATCCAGTTATTGCAATTCAGAGAGAGCAACTAACTTTGTTAAGATTCATAAACAAAACATCTAATTCAGCTGATGCTTTTATCCAAAGCGACTTTCAAAACCAACCAGGAGTATACAAAAAAAGAACAGCAAGAATCCTGCAAGTACGGCTTCAAATACAGCCAATTACAAATTACAGCCGTTATGCACATTACAAAAAAGGGCTATAAGAGTTATCAATAATGTTGGGTATCTTGAACACACTATGTATTATTTTTGAAGTCACACATATTGAAGTTCACTGACCTGGTTACATTTAAAACGGCACAAATCATGTACAGAGCAAGACATCATCTACTTCCTAGGAAATTAAAACCACTGTTCGTAGACGGAGAGGGTGGGTATACTTTGAGAGGAAATCTACATTTTAAACAACTCAAGGTCAGAACAACTCTGAGAAGTAAGAGCATAACAATCTGTGGGGTGACTTTATGGAATGGTTTGGAGCAGGAGTTTAAACAAAGCACAAACATAATTCAGTTTAAAAGGATCTACAGAAACACTTTTTGGGACAACTATGAAAATGAAGAAAGGTGATTGAAGATCAGAAATGATTGTATATGTGTGTATAAATGTAAGTAGGAATAACTTGCATAATGATTTAAAGGACAATCATTGATCAAGTAAGGGGTGGGAATTAATAAGCATTGCTTCCTCCTGCTCCCTTTCAGACACATGATTTATTATTATTATTTTTTTAATATGTTCGAAATAAAGATTGAAATGAAATAAGTCAAACTTTTTCAAGTGGATGGGTATACAGAATTGTATATATTTTGTTGGCTAAGGTGCAGTTAAACAGGTAGTCAGCTATGGGAGGTATGCAGACTTAATGGCTGCACTATCAATTGAAATTGGATCAAAATCCCAATATGGACTAGTACATAGTACATATAGTGCTAGATATCACATTAAACGCAATATTTGGTAAGAGAAAAATATGTAAATTAAGTAATGAGGAGCCAGAGAGAAGTCCCGACCGGCAAAGGGTATTCTTCGGACTTAATAAAAACCATTGTTTGGGACAGATCCTCTTAATAAAAAATCACATTTGTATATGTTTTCGAATGCTAATGCTTAATAATGTTTCAAAAACGATAATTCCCTCAACTACGCGAAGCATATCCCAATTGCATTAACAGTTCAAATAATTGCAAGTGGGTATTTTTTCCCAATTGTGCAGCCCTACTAGAATTTCTGCTTTTCCTGTTGAAAAATAAATAAATGTTTGAACTTGTTTAGCTGTCTTACTTTTCCTTTCTATGTTTTCGTTCATGTTTTTTTAATTATAAAAATAAGCCTTTCTCCCCACGGTGCTCTGTGCTGTCCTCAGGTGACGTGGACGACTGGGATCGGCTGGAGGTCCGTCAGGGTCGGGAAGGAGTCCAGAACGTTCTGTACCTCGACGACGAAGAGGAGGAAGAGGAAGACGGGGAAGAGGGCGAGCAGGAGGCCAGGAAGGTCACGGTGAGGAAAAAAAAACAGCACACAGCTGTGCTAACCATTGTTGCACAAACATAAACTTTGAATGTTAGAGATTCCTTAGCACAAAGTACCAATGAACTGGCCAGATGTATGGAGAACTGGGATGACTGGAAGCAACGATGGAGGGCTGGTCTGAGGACGACCTAGAGAGATTCATTAGCGTTTTACGATTTAAACAGGAAGTAATATAAATCTGTGTTCAGGTATGTTCATGTGGCCACTAGGGGACAGCATAACAAGCTGTAAATCTGAAACAGGAAGCGGTTTATTGCCCAGTAGGTTTTCACATACAAGGATTTCTGTCTGGGGTGTTGGTGCATAACATAACACTTAGTAAGACACAATGAAATCAAAAATAAAAGCAAAAATGTAGATAAGAAATTGGAAAAAATACTACAAAAATATGTACTGTATACCTGCTAGTTGAAATAAAAATAAATATAAAAAGTTGCTTTAAGAATATCTAATACAGTATACATCTGAATTTCAATTGAAGAGCTTAGCAAAATTGACAACACTAACAAATCAACGTTTCATTTTATTTTGTAAACTTGATAAACAGTTATTTACACAGTGTTCTCTGCATTTAACCCATCCTAGTACCAGGAGTCTAGTACTAGGAGCAGTGGGCAGCTATTGCACAGCGCCCGGGGAGCAATGGGAGTGGGGGGGAAGGGGGTGGCCGGTGCCTTGCTCAAGGGCACCACAGCAGGGCAGGAGGTGAACTGGGACCTCTCCAAGTAGCAGTCCACACTCCGTATTTTAGGTCTGGTCGGGGACTTGAACCGGCGACCCTACAGCTCCCAGTCCCTACTGACTGAGCCACTGCCGGACAACCTCATCTAATTTCTCTAAATCATCACTTACCAGCATTGAAATAAACGTTATATTTATGAATCATTACAACATTCGAGTTGTTTATTTAGTAAAAACTCATTGATGTCAGATGAATCTGTCACATAGGCCTATTGTCGATTCATGTGCCGATTTACCTAATTTAGTTGAAACCTTAAGTTCATTTGAAAGTAAGGAATCTCTAAGAAAGATAATTTGTGGACATCTAAACGTTGTTCATTAAATTGTATTAATATCATTAATGTTTTGTTTATTAACTGGTACATGGCGTCCTGTCAGTTTGCAACAGAGTCATATCCCTGATATAGATAATCTACAGCCTAAATAGATCAGAACTCTTGGTCAATATATTGTATATTATTGCTGATATTTAAAATGTTTTTCACAACAGAAGCTCAGCAGTTTGCGTCAATGACAACCTTGATATTCTGGTGCAACTCCACTGGTAACTGTTTGTTAATATTCCAATCCAACCCCAACTGTTACGACCTTCCAGGAAATCTCTCTGCTCTCTAATCGCTGACCGCTTTCAAGCTCCAGCTGTTGTTTGTTTGTTATTGTTTTAAATTCTGCGGTTTCCACTTTGTCTCGACTCACCCACACAGTTGTGCAAGTCAAAGCCAGAGGGGAGCGGGTGAGTGAGTGCACGCTGTAATAAAACTATGACAGGGTGAGGATGAAATAAAACAGAGGATTGGCCCATAATAATTCAGTGGGTTACATTACCCAAAATGCACTGCTGCGCGGGGGAGGGGGAGGTTGATCAAAGTAATGAAGCATGTTGCAGTTCACCCTTCATCTGAGAGTCAATAGCAGTTAAGCCTTTTCTCTTCTCGAGTGGGTGGCGCAGTAAATGACTCCACGATGTTTCAGTGTGTCGCTGTTTGCGCTCCGTGTTAGCGCTGAAAAGCTTTTTGATGTTCTTTTGAACGGCTGGATAATGTTTGATCACTCTCATTTAGTAGAGACATGTTCAGTAAACATTGACTTTCTTCCCCCCCACTTCAACAACGCAGACATTACACTATCACTTATTTGTTTAAAGATATTTCCTCATTGCACATAATTCCCGCTTTCAACCGGCACGCCGTGTGCTCTCAAGAGAAGTCTGTCTCATCAGTCATCATCATAAGGCATTTATGATTGAGTGATTATTCCAGTGCTCCTTCAGCGGATTCATGGATTTCATTTTCTTTTTCGTCAACGACATAGAAGCTTTGCAATTTATTAATTGCAAAATACAGAAAAACTAAAATATATTGTACAAAAAACGGTCTATCAATTTAGTGAAAGTTAAGGCTATTAAAAAGTATTAAAAGGCATTTTCCAAGGTATTACATTTTGTAGCTTGTTTTCAATAAGTATATAAATGGTCCAAAGAGGTTGTGTTCTACAGTTTGCCTGAATGTAATCATTGCATAGGTGTGTAGTGTGATTCTGTGTAGTTTATTGATGGCATCCCGTTGGATCTGACGTCATCTGAACAGGACATCGCACGCTCACTGCTTGATAGCGTGCGAAGGTCCGTTTACACCGGTTGCTAAACAACATCGTTATGGGGAAATGCAAGTCTGCGTCCAAATGGTTGGAAGATAAGGAGGAAGGACAATCAATACTGTGTATAGTCAATGTGAGGTAAAGTGTGTCGCCAAGGTAACCGGTTAAAACTCCAAGTGGCGATGAGGTCTTAAAATGTGTGGAAAGGGTCTTAAAAAAGGTCTTAAAAGGTTTTACATTTGACTTCAGGATCCCTGCATATACTCTGTAATACTAATGGAGTAAATATCACATAAAAAATATTAATAATAATATAAATAAGGTAATAACAGTACAGACAAAATAATGATTCAATCATTAACTGATTAATATGTTCGGTGCAAAATACAAAGTACAGAAGTGTGCGTGTACATTTTCTTTACAAAACAAACCTATTAGTTCTGCTGAAATTAAAAGTAAAACAAAGAGTAGAATTATCACATAAAAAGTCATAACAAATAATAAAAAATTATGTTTAAATTATATGTAGTCGTAGGTTAGACCAGGGGTTCCCAAACTTTGCCATGCCAAGGACCCCCATATAGCATTATCCTCTGACAGGGACCCCCCTGTTGCAATTTTTTTTTTTTTAAATGAACAAGTGCCTCCCGATGGAGCATGCAGTGTGTTGCCACTACATTTGGGGCCTTCTGCCTGATCAAAGCTGTCACTCCGCTTTTTTTGCCTGTCATAGCCCCACTGCCCCATCTGAACACACACCCACACAACGAGACCAGTCAAGTCCGTTTGAGATGATGTACTCATCTAAAACTTGGAAAATGTCTCTCCGTGTGGTCCTACCTTCCAGTGCTTTGCAAAATAATATTTCCTCAACAAAGTTGTCTTCTGAAATAAATCTGATGTATGCAAGCAATTCTGCGACATTTGCTACATCCGTGCTCTCATCCAGCTGCAGAGCGAAACATTCACTAGCTCTCACTTGCTCCAAAAGCTGAGCAGATTTTCACTCGCAGTAGCGGCAGCTCGATTCTGATTAGCTTGAAAGGACAACAAATATGAAAAGATTGGCATCAAAGGACACATAGATTGATAGAGTTATTAATAAGTTTCCCTCAAACTTTGAGTGACCCCCCTGGCGCCCCCCCGGGGGGTCGGGGCCCTCACTTTGAAAAACACTGGGTTAGACTACTTAAACATTTTCTAACTTATTCTGTAAGTGTAATTGTGAACTCTATACTCTATGGATATTTGTCTTTCTATCTTTCTATTGTTTGTACATGTATATTTACTGTTGGTTCATTTTAACATATGCAATGTTTTTGACATGCTACTGTAACAAAAAACTAAAGCAATTTGGCATCAATAAAGTATATCTACTCTAATATAATATAATCTAATTAATCATAATAACAAATAAATAAATATCAGTACCATCAAAATAGCGTTTTTCTTTTTCTTTTAATATTTTCTTTTGAATTTTTCTTTTAGTTACAATAAAGCAAAGACATACACACTATACACACTATACAGTAAGTAGGTACCCGAAACCTTTACATGCCGTACAAGAGAAAAAAAGAAACTGGGTATTACATTGACAATTCCTGAGAATAGTCTAAAGCTGGCAGCATCGTAGACAGCATCAACATAACTTTAAACACACAATAATAAAAGATATATAGGTGTTTTATCAGTGTGTTTTTAACTGGTTGTCGCCCCCTTGTGGTGCTGCAGGTGTTCTTCACCAGGAACGGGAAGCTGATGGGCCGCAGGGAGATGAGGGTCCCTCCCGGGGGTCTGTTCCCCACCGTGGGGATGCTGAGCAGCGGGGAGAAGGTGAAGGTGGACCTGCACCCCCTCAGCGGCTGAGCGGACCCCCACTGTGAGCTCTGCTAACAGCTGGCTGCCCTGCAGAGCTCACACCTAGCCTAGCATGCTGCGAACACTTCAAACACACCGGCGCTGTCTCTGCTTTTATTTATAAGACCTGTACATTGTCTCATCAAAGAATCACAACCGGATCACACACCTGATTGTACAGTAGCAGAGAAGTCAAACATAAGCTGTGTAGGTTACAGCATGCTGCACCTAAAAGAAAATATATATATTTAACGGTTTATTCAATGCAATCTGTACGGCTATCACCTTCACATCTAACCTCCCTCTGCATGCAGTGTGTCCAACACTGAGCTGTTAAACCCCCTCTCATGAGCTCTGTTTATTTCATTTGTCACGACCCAAAGCTAAGCAGAGCAGGGAATACACTCTCCCCTCTCTGTCTCTCCCCCTTCTCTCTGTCTCTCCTCCTCCCCCTCTCTCTCTCTCTCCTCCTCCCTCTCTCTGGGTGAGGCTGCCCTCCTGTGAGCGTTCAGGGACCTGCTGCCTCCCGGAGCTTCGCTGGAAGTGAAACCGAGGATCTGTTGCAATATTTCACAAATGCATCCACGCTTATTGTATACGAGCAGGTTTGGCCATCACAACCTCACATTCAGATGCTGTTAACTGTTTCTAATCGGAGAAGGACTACACTTAAACAAACATGTCAGGTATGTTTTCTACAGGGGCATCTGCAGAATACACATTTAAAATCTTTAACGTAAAAAGTTCAGGGAATGTGTTTTGTTGTTGCACTTTGGGGAGTCATACAAGAATACAGGGAGTGGACCAAACTGAAACGACCCTTGCAGTGTGATGCAACCCCTCAATCATCAGCCATACAATATATCCACAGCTTAATTTATAATCATTAAATGTAATCAGCTCTGGCTGCTGTGTTGGATTGCATCACACAGTAATGTGTTACTTTGGGTTTTAACATAGTCCTCAGTGCATGCAAAGGGTTATTTCCTGTCTCACTTTTCCTCTCCTGTTTTTCTAACCATAAAGTTATACTAATATATCACCGTTAAGTTTACAAGAAGAGATCCTCCCAAATGAATTCCTTGCTTTAGTAGTCAGAGGATGATTTCTGTGATAACATTATGTGATGAAGAGTTAACTCAAGGATGAAGATGATTTGTGGTTGCTGCATGTTTGTGTTTGTGTGTCTGCACATCATCATCATCATCATCATCATCAGCAGCAGCAGAGGTTTGCATCACAAAGACGGATCAGATCAGAGACTCTGGTTTTATGCTGACTCACTTCAAGCTGTGTTGGATCACTATGGTAACCATGCAAAAGCATAGGGCTGCAACAATCGTTTTTCGTTATTAAATATGCAGTGCAAACATTTTCTTGATTGTTTAGTCTTTAAGATGTCATGTGGAATATTTAGAAATCATAATTATAGATTTGAAAATAAATAAATATTCTAAATTCTTCTTCCCTAAAACCTTCAGCCTACATTTCCCACAATGCAACTCGACAAACACCATAGCCTCAAGCAATACTTTTTTTCTGCGTCACACGGCTGTATCGGCGCCTTCCAACCTACAGTTTAACAACAATTCTTCATGGCAGATGTAAACCAGTATTAACTGTGAATGTATTATTTTCAGGTTTTATTTTTAATGATTAAATACTTTAAATTAAATCCGTTTACCACACCATGTTCTATATGTGAGCTCCCGCGTTTCTCCTCTTAGTATATAATAGTTCGAATAATTGTATACGACGGTTAATTCTTAAACGGTCTGCCATTAAACAGTCTGAGGAGGAGCAATGCATTCTGGGATGGTCAATTATGTACAGTTAACGTCCATCTTAAACTAAAATGTTTTCTAATAAAGTCAACATCAGGAATATCTCATATGTACACACAATCCACGTTAGAACGCCACACTTAGTAAAAAAAAAAAGTATTAGTTGCAGTTTTGAACACAGCCACAGATTTATTTCATTTTCAAACGTAAAGCTAGTCCCAAACCACATTGCAACCTTTTATTGAACATACTAGTCCTCTCAAATACCTGAAAACAGACTTGGATGTTTAACTCTTGTTGAATAATCGGTCATAACTGGATTAGTTAAAAAAATAACGGTTATTCTTCTGTTAGGCTGAACTGGATTTGTGATAGACTTCAGCAATCTGTGCACGTGAATGAGAAATACTGTAGTTTGTTGTATTGTGTCAGTGGGAGCTGGTTTCCACACAAATTATAAACATTATATTGTATAATCTTAATCTTTAAAACCTTCCCCACATCTGTGTTCGTCCATCACAACACCAGCAGCCCTGCAACATAAACTACATTCCTGTAAAGGTGCAAACTGCAGGATGCTGTAGTGTTTCAGCTTTCATTCTGCAGACAGTCGTGCTAGGAATAACACTTTATGTAAAATCACTACAAAGGGTTACGTTTTAAATCACATATCTGCTGGAGACCATGTTTGTAATCAGCTGTTATGCATCTTGTTTTAGAGCCATTGATGATGTGAATACAAATGTAAATCACTAAGTTGTCCTCCTCCTGCAGGGCTGGATAGAGACTTATGTTAATTATGCTAGACAGTGCAAAGACATTGAGACACTTCAGGGTATTAAAGTCACTTATTGTAACGTTTACAAAGTTTCACGGTTCAACCAAATTCTTAGTTAAATCTGGTTTTAAATGTTTGTAGCGTCTCTTTACTCGTGTGATAACTCGCCTCGTTGACTTGCACTTTGAAGACCTTGTTTCAGATCATCAATAAAGGTTTCAGTAATGCAATGTGTTTTATTTGAAATGTACTTTTTAATCAAGCATTTGTGTCCTCGTGACTGAGGATTGGTCAACTTTAATTACAAAACACTTTGCTGATTTTGTGCCGTTCAGTAAATCATGTTAACTTTTTTCTCAGGATCGGGACTTCAGTAAATAATAATGTAATTGAACGCCTCAGCACTGATAGTCTTCAGTTCAGCTGAATACAACATTTCATTTATTCAGGTCATCTCAGTTAAAATGGCTTGCAAGAAATAAGTGGTAAATTCAGTGTGTTCCTGCTTCGAGTTAAATGTCTCAAGTATTTGTCATGAAGTACATTCAATCCTCAGGGCCCAAGAGTTCAAAACTTTGAATCCCTATCTGATCAGATCAGATTTATCTTTTGGGGAGTTCAAAACCAAAAAACAGGATTAGGATCACTTTGATATCCGATCAGATCAGGAAATCCAATCCAAGCTTTAATCTGGATCAAATCTTCAAAACGGGTAGTTCAAACCGACAACACAGGATTGGGATCAATTTGATCCCAAAAAACTGGATTATCCTGATCCCACCAGAGGGGTGGATTTCCAGAGCAAAATGTAGGCCTACTGTACAATTTATTTTAAAATATGTTTCAATTTAAATTAGATGGCAACGTTTGTTAACTGAAATAATACACAATTGTTAGCCTTCATGGGAAATACATTTTATTTTTCCATTTTTTGCTCACGTTTGTGGTGGCCTATTTAGTTTTCAACCAAATGTTGATGACATAAATGTTTATGCTCATAAAAGTATCACAACAAAGATTGTTAATCACAAATGTAATTTAGATTAAATAAAAAATATCTTTAACAAAAAAGTCCATCTGTCATCACCTTTCAAAAGTAATTGCAGACAATAGCATCTCGCCTTGCACCACCACTCAGTCTCTCATTTAGAGGGAAATCCATAGGTGGGCCTAGATCAGGGGTCGGCAACAGGCGGACCGCGGTCCGGACCGAGACGCCGACCTATACGGACCCGGACCTATAATCAATACATTAATATGGGATTTTTCGGGGCCTCCCGGTTTTTTAACGCTGATTTGGGTGACTTGTGTAATTCGTGGAGAAACTAAGAGTGGCGGACAGCTTCTCACTTTAAAAAAGAAGAAGAAATCTAGACCGCAAAAATAATTAAACAAGCGAGTACCTGTTTTTCCTGGCCAAGGACAGGTTCCTTGAACACAACACGAGCGTAACGTGTCTTCACGTGGTATATGTCTCGTCTGAAAGGAGTGCTGACGGAGAGCACCGGAACGCCGCTCCAGCCCTTCAAATATTGCAATACCCATAAGGAGCCGTACACATGCCGCAGTGTTTGCGTGGCTGTGTCTTTAGTTGTAAGCACAGTGGCGATCTGTTGTTATTAGCATCTGGTTAGCTAGCTATGCTAACGAATTTAAAGAGCTTTTCTACAACCAGGTGGAAGAGAGCTCTCTCCTGAGAGGCTCAAATAACCTCAACTCAGTGAGGTTAAGGCACACCTTGATATGATCATTATAGTTATTAATGAGACTAAATGAAAAACAGGTATAAAATACTATATGACAGTAACAAAAAAGTTAAAAATAACAAGAATACAGTTTAAAAGGGGAGTGATTTGTAAAATATCCCAAAAGAAAAATCTGCTTACAGTTCTGTTTCATATGGGTGTTGAAAGATGTATCTATAGATCTCTTCATTTTGCTCTCAAAGTGTACTAGATTGATGCTTTTAACTTCAATATTTAAAAACAATCTTCCCGGGGGAGCATGCCCCCGGACCCCCCTAGAGGAGGTTAGGTCCCCCCACTTAAATTATGTTCACATGGATAGGAAACTAAATACATTTGCACACATCTTGTGTCCATATCGTTCTGTTTTGGTGGTCATGCCACACCGTGCACGTGCATGCATACGTGAGTCATGGTGAGATATCTGGATTAAGAGGTTGCTTTTTCTTTGCACAGCATGAAAGAAAGGCCAAATGAATGGGCTGTGATTTTAGTTTTTTTAAGCAGAGGTTGAGTTCAATAATTTGTACGACCCTCGGAGGATGTTGTAAAAATTAAAAGGAAAAAGGTTCCCCACCCCTGCTATAAATAATAATAAAAACCCTTGATTTATAACTTAACATCTCTGTCTCCTATTGATCTGAGTATATTATAAAGAATAGCCAGTTAATTGAAGCATTATAGCACAGGCCTTTGTCAGATGGTATATTACGCTGTTTTTGTTCTGCTTCGAATAGTTCTCTCTTTTTTCACCATACCTGTGTTTGCATCACTGAAACCAATGAGCACCTGCATGTGTGTGAGAATGGCCCTGACACCATTTCAGCCCAGATTTAAACTCCTGGCAGGACAAGCTCAAGCTCAATTCTCGCACTGAATTAAAAAAAAGTGAGTGAGGGGCTGCAATATAAGAGGGAAAGAAAGAGAAACGTTAAAACTGTTCAATTGTTATGATGTAAAGACTGATATGTTCTATAATCGGCTGAAACTGTTAAGTCATGATGTGAAACGGTTAACAACGAAAAAGGGAAACTCAAGCTGCTGCTACACTTTATTTTATTTATCTAAAATAAAGCACTTTTAAGATGCACATATTTTCAAAAGCTATTTTATTTATTTTCTCTATTTTATTTTTAAATGCAGCCCGAGAGGAACATTACACATATCCACAGTATGTTACTGTATATCTGTATAGTTTAATGTTAATTGACAATAAATATTGTTGTTTATGAATTGTACTTTCTTTATTTGATTGGCAGTCAGTTGTTGATTACATGCAGACATTGATAAAGCTACAGGCTACTTCAATATATCACACTAATTCATAAAGCAACTTAGACATTTTGAAGTTCCGGACCTTTGCATGGGGAGATTTTCTCTAACTGGACCTCGTTGAATTTTAGTTGAATACCCCTAGCCTAGATCATCAGCAGGTGCGAGGGGCTCTGGGGGATCATCGATGTCAGAGAGGGGGACTCTGCGATGGACAGCGATATTGTGTAGCACAATACAAGCCAGTGTTATTTGGCATGCTCCTTGGGGTTCCACTCTCAGATAGTTGAGGCATGCAAAGCGCCTCTTCAGTACTCCATTCAAGCGCTCAATGGCACACCTTGTTCTTCCATGGGTATTGTTGTAGCGCATCTGTGAAGGAGTGTTGGCCGTGGGAAAAGGTGTCATCACCCATGGTAGGAGTGGGTAGGCACTGTCGGCTAATATAACTCCATCCGGCCTGTTGGTTTGGAATTCAGTGAACAGCCAGCTCTCTCTGAAGATACGTGCATCGTGGACTGACCCAGGCCATCTCACAACACAGTTGGTGATGGCAAGGTCAGCATCTCCCACAAGTTGCACATTGAGGCTGTGCCTCCTTTTCCTGTTGACATATTCCCACTCCCTCTGACGAGGTGCTTGAATATGTACATGGGTGCAGTCGATCACCCCAATGGTGTTGGGCATGTCTCCCAGAAGAAAAAACTTCTGCTTCACTTTGGCAATCTGACCATCAGTGGGAAAAGTCACAAAGTGATCCAGCAGGTGAGCCAGTGCATCAGACACAGCTGTCACCACTTCACCCACTGTTGTCCTGTGGACTCCCATGCTGTCAGCTATGACCTCATAGAATGTTCCACATGCGTAAAAGCGCAGGGCAATGAGGACCTGTTCCTCTACAGTCAGAGCATGACTCCGCAAGGTTCTGCACTGCAGTTGTGGCCTGACCAGATCAGCAATGTAGTTGATGTCATCAAGTCCAAATCGAAAACGATTGTACAGTTCTTCTGTTGTGTACTGTTGGAGAGGTTTGGGGCGCTCGGTGTGGACCCTTTGGCGGTAACCTCTCCTTCCAGCATGGAAGATGTGAACAATCCCTGCCATGACTGTGTTCTGACTGTTGTTTCAGTCAGTAGGCGTATACATCAGTCTCTGAATAACAACTAATTGCAAATACACACCTGGAATGAATGTCCAGATTGGTTAGGGCCTGTGGTTAATTATGTAATTAATAGCAAGGCCAGAACTATACAACTAATTGCTGACCTGACCAAACCATTGAGTTGGAAAGATGGACAAAAAGGGGCCTAATTTTACATCTGCTGAGACCCATGCACTGCTGCTGGGTGTAAGGAACAATTATGACTCCATAGTTGGTAGCTTTAACAGAGAGGGTGGAGCGACTAAAGTAAAGAGCGGAATATGGATGGAAGTTACAGACAATGTGAATGCCACAGGATCTGGACACAAGAGGACGGTGGACCAAGTGAGGTTGAGGTGGAAGAATTTGAAGCAGCAAGCTACCAAAGACCACAGCCAGGCAACAAACCACATAAAAGGGGACAATACACAGATCTGGTACTTGATATCATTGGTGGTCAGCAGTCACAATCTTTACATGGAATACCAAACGTTGTACTGGATGGTGAGTCGCAAGTATGTGTGATTTTATCCTTGTTCCTATAGAACTACAATTATTATCTTGTATAATTGTTATTTTCATAGTACTACAATGGCTATATGTCTTACATAGCATCCTAGTACTACAATTTTCCAGGTTGCATGCGTGTGATCATCTTATTAAGGGGTATAAAGTATATTGATAAACTTTCATTTCAGGTCGTCAATGCACCTGATGTGACACACACCATTGAAGATGAGGTCCTCCTGACCCATGTGGATCCAGAAGCTGGACCTTCAGCCAGGCCTGATGACACACTGCAAGAGCCACCTCTAAAGAGAAAATGCAAGCGCACCAGAAAACCAGAGCAGAGGGATGATGCCTACGAGACTCTGCTGAGCCGTGAAACGGAGAGGGCAGAGATGCAGATCCGTCTGGCCGAAGAACAAATACAGCTGTGCCGGCTTCAGCAAACTGAAACCTCACTGAGAATTCAGCTCCTCAAAGCACGTCTATGATGATCCAGCTGCCTTTGAATGAATGCTTTATTGTTGTTACCCTAGTGGGAGTATTTTTTTTAATTACAAT